CACCTTAACCCATGGACTAGGATGTGCAAAAAGTTACACGACCTGGGGCCAGATTCAGGAAGGTACTTAGGAAGGTTTTTCCTCTTAGCCAAGAGCGTTTTCCGTCTTAGCGCCTTCGTGGCGGCTACGTCCGTATTCAATTAACTACCCTAAGTGGAAAAACCTTCGTAAGTTCATTCCTGGATTTAAGTGTGGTTTCGACCACTCGTAGCTTTACGTAAACTGGATATAAGTAATTTTTTCTCTACTACATAACACTGGGATCGATTTATGATATTGGAACATGACCAAAATATTATAGCTGGTGAATCTAGTGAAGAGGAATCCTTCGTGTTAGTTATATATGCATTCTCTGCTTGAAACGAAGTAAATATGTGTTTGATGATAGTAGAATTAGTTTTATAATAGCAAGATATTATACCAGTAGTTATTAAGTAAATAAACACTGAACATGAAATATGAGAGAAGGTGATGAGCCCTGCCTGATGGGATCATTTACTATCACCAAATGCGCCTGTTCACCTAGTAGTAAGGGTGTACCTTAGCTATACATACCCATTTCTAATTTATTTAGTTTGGTTTTATTTTGAAATTAAATCTGGGCGAGACATAAAATAAAAATATGCTGCACAAATGATGTTAGGTAAGGAAAAGGGTAAAAATGTCAAAAACTTTATTCATTGAATACTTAAAGCTATAATTATGACTATATAGATTATTAAAAAAGAGAGAGGGAAGTAGGGGTCCAAGACCTCTTCCTGTTATATAATTTGGGTGTGGAACAATTATCAAAAGAAGGCACCATGCCGGGAAGGCTATGTAGCAGTAAGGCAGTGAGGTGAGGCAGCTACTTATTTGAGAAATGCTTATTTTATTTACCTTATAAGCTGAGGCAACTTATTTTATTTGAGGAATACTCAGCTGATTCCTCTACATTTAGCATGGAACAAATTTGTGTCCAAGACCTCTTCCTGTTACTCAATTTGGCTGTGTGTAACCAAACTAGAAGTGCTCTACAAATCAAGGGACCCAGAATGTGGAATGACCTCCCGAATCATGTCAAAGGCTGTACCTCTCTCAACCAGTTTAAGAGTTAAACTAAGTACTGCCAAATTAACTCCATGTAACCTAACTTACCTCCTAAATGTCAACCCATGTCTTGCTATTTTTTAAACAACGCTGTTCACCAACATGTGCAATTGCTGATTTATGCTATGTTAACCCCCTTTTTGTATTTTTTATTCCTTCTTTCAACACAATTTATACCTAATCCCGATTACTATTAAGTTTTAGTCTGTTTTTTTTTCCCCACACCTTGCCCGAAATGCTATGAGTATTAGTGGCTTTAGGTATTGTATGTACTAGCTCTGCCTATAAATCCATCATTATGTTTGTAAATCAACTGTATGTACTTTTCCTGAATAAAATGTATTTATTATTTATTTTTTAATCAGTAAGTATTAAAAGAAGGCACCAAGCTGGGAAGGCTATGTAGCACCATTGTGTGTAACAATAAACCATTTTTTTTTTAACAAATAATGCACCTGTATGGGAAAACAAATCCTGTCAGCTGTAAAAATATTGATGCAGTTATTTAAATGAATAATATAATGAAAGAAATATTACAGTATATCCAAGGAAGTGAAAAATTGAGACATAATGCACAATTTAATGAATGATTAGCAGTTCAAAAGAAATATGACTTGTATTACATGAGATCATGTAATACAACATGAGATCTTAATGATCCATGGTCAACATGATTTAATAAGGATAATACAGTACTGTATTTGTAATACAAACTATAATTGAAAATCTTTATTACTGATTTTTTTTTATTAAGATTAGGTATACACAGCAATGTGCTGCTACCCTAGTCTATATGGAATATTACACAGTGTAGATAAAAAACTAGCTATAAATTTATCTAATACTCCCATCTCACAGGATGGTTAGACATACTGTACATGGAATCAATTTAGAAAATACCAGCCTCAATACAAAAAACAAATCAACTCTGACTAAACAACTCTAAGCAATTTTCACAAGAGGTAAGCACTGAATCATGGAAACATTATAATTACTCATACCAGTTTCTACAAAACTCCTCTCAAACAATGTATTTTTAAACATGTTTAGGTATACACAGCAATGTGCTGCTTCCCTATTCTGTATAAAGGACTGTTACAAATGATATGAGTAGGGCTTCTATGGGGTACTGGTACTATTAAGGGGTATAGGTAGTTAGAAGACAAGAGTATCAAATATGGGAGAGCTAAAAGGCCCGGCCCCCAAAATAAACTATCCACAGTAGTAATAACTTGCTACAAGACCATATATGTTAGTCTAAGAGTTGATCACTGCGCTCCCACCTTGGAAGAAGAGATACTCTGTAATTCATGTACTTATTTATTAACCCCTTAACAACCCCCCATATACACTCACACCAATAACAATAATAATAATAACTTTACCACACTATCTTACGTTAAAAGCCTTGGTCCACGTAGGCAGGATACAAGGTTTACACTAATAACAAGCTAGGGTAAAGTACTACTGGATAAGCACTGAAGCTGGATGCAGCTTAGGGTAGTGAAACCACGTGGGACCCTAATACAAAACACAACACTTAGGGGTACCCAAACACTGGCAAAATACTATCCCCAGGTCTCACCAATCGTTACTACCAGAGTAGGCACACTCACTAATGCCCTGTACTTAGCTTAAGGATACAGGAACTTCAGGTAAGGGAAATAAGTAAGAGGAGAAGGAAGGAGAGTAGGGGAGCAGCCACAGAGTAGGTCTTATCCACACACACCAGCCAGAGAGAAGACCGAGCTAGCCACCAGCTGCCTCCCTCATGTTGTGGTGCCGGGAGGAGCCTAATTGATCGTGCAGCTAAGCACATTAAAGATCTTCCCCTATGCAACGTATTGTTACTTTATGAATGATTAGAAAGTATTAGTAAGCAAAGTTGGTGCCTATGTTATTATTTAATAATCAACCCCCAGCTCAGTCTTTAAATGCTCTTTGAGAAACAATAATAGTCTTACGTCTGGCAGGGAAGATACAAACAATTGACATTCTAGATGCCCAACTGTGCTACCAGGAAGTTTAATAGCTCAATTTTGACCTCTGGTTTCCACTGGAGAACCCAGGGTCGTAACAAGGACCACACAGTGTAGATCAAAAACCAGCTACAAGCTCACCCAACATCCTCACCTCACAGGATGGCCAGTCATACATGGAATTAGGAGAGAACAAAATACTTAATGCTGATCTATTAGCCTCCACTGACAAAATCTGGGTGCAGCACAAGAATATCTTCCAATATTCCTGAGTGAATGAAGTAATTACAGAGCTCAAAATACCTCATACCATTTGGTATGAAGTCACTGATAACAGGACAATCACAGATATAGTGTTGGAGAGTATGTTCTCTCAAGTAGGACTGAAAACAGATGTTTTTTTCCACCAAGAGGACTATAAACCCATGGAACCGCCTACCCGCTGAAGCTGTAAATGCCAAATTCCAGCTAAAAAATATCATTAAAACAATTGGCGGGCCCTTTAACAAGCCGCCGGCTTTCTGTCCTCTTCGAGGTCACTAGATAGTTAGTGGCCCTTGGGTAAATTCAGTAAATATATACAATAATTGTCAGCGCATCTTCCGAGCAACAAGGACAGCTACACAGTATCTCTTAGAATTACGTAGGTAAACAACAAATGTAACAGCTTCTAATACCCTTAGGCTATGTTTTTGGGAAGATATGCACAAGATTTGATCCAAGAAGTCGCTAGAGAACTACACTGCCCCATTTCAATTTAAACTCGTTATACCATAGTAACTTGTGTAATATCAAGTTGACAGGTAATGGCATTAATAAGATATTGCAGCCCATTCACCTGTTTTAATAGTACTTATAGGAAGGATGAGGACGCTAATACATGTACATATGGGCCAATAGGCTTTCTGCAGTTACCTTCATTCTTATATACCGATGTACAACACAATTAGAAAGTAGAAATTGACGTGTTTTCTTCTTAATAACTTATTAAACCAAATGTCTTTTTATGTCAGAAGAACGGCAGAAACTGGATCTATATATGAAAACTCTTTCAGGACAAAATTTAAAGTAAAACTAAAGATATTTGTAGTTGTATAAAAGTTGCATTTTTCATCGGTCGTAGAGCCGGAAATCCGCAATATTCATCTCAGAACAATGCTTATTTCACGCAGAATCGTTAATAAACGTAAGATTTTTATACGTCTCAAGAAAGATAGAAACATAAATTTACTTTAATCTTTTTTTTTTTTTTTTTTTTTTTTTTTTGAGATATATACAAGAGTTGTTACATTCTTGTTCAGCCACTAGTACGCGTAGCGTTTCGGGCAAGTCCTTAATCCTATGGTCCCTGGAATACGATCCCCGGCCGCGAAGAATCGTTTTTTCATCCAAGTACACATTTTACTGTTGCGTTAAACAGAGGCTACAGTTAAGGAATTGCGCCCAGTAAATCCTCCCCGGCCAGGATACGAACCCATGACATAGCGCTCGCGGAACGCCAGGCGAGTGTCTTACCACTACACCACGGAGACTGTTCTAGAATCTAGTTTTACATAATCTAGTTTTACTTTAAATTTTGCCCTGAAAGAGTTTTCATATATAGATCCAGTTTCTGCCGTTCTTCTGACATAAAAAGACCTTTGGTTTAATAAGTTATTAAGATGTTTTCAACAATATTACTAGGGCGTTCACCGATTCCAACATGGGCGACCCTTTTGGAAAAGGATACAAGACACTCCGTACATTGACAACATCGCACACTAATATTTTTACCACTTCGGACACCAGCTTTAGTCGTTTCGCATATGTGTACGTGTTCCATATTAAAACGACAATATAATGCTATTAACAATTAAAATCTGCTATTTAACAGGCATATAGTTATTAAATGAAGTTTAGTAATGTAATAGACATAATCCGGAGTTGGTAAGGACGCCGCCCGCTCATGGAAACGCCACACTTGGGTTGACCCGATTGATAGACTGGTTATATTCCAACAGGGTCTGAGACATAAACACTGGCAGCATCACCATGTTCCTCAGGTCTCTCATCTCCGGCTACAGGGCTGCAGCCACCGATTTTGTAAGAAATCGGGCATTATTACAGGTATAGAGATATAATGTGGAGTCCATGTTTTCTCTTCACTTGTGTACGGTGCTGTACAGCTTTACTTCGTGTGTGTGAGCGATAACTTTGCAATCTCGTTAAATCACAATTTGTTTAGTTTATAAAGCAACCTTGTTCTGTTGGTGTTGATTTATGAGCTACGAAGGCCCAGGTGTCGAATAAGCCCAGCCTTTCCTTTGTCGGGAATAACACTAATACTTGCGGCTGCGTATCCCATCAAGTGAGACTTAGAGCATCAGCCTCCATCTCGGCCGAGCCAACGCCTGGACTCTGCCCCCAAAGATTAATAATAATAATATAATAATATTTTATTTAGGAAAAGTACATACATAGATGCAGAGTTACAAACATTCTGAATGATTTATAGATAGAGCTAGTACATACAGTACCTATAGCCACTAGTAGGCATAGTGTTTCGGTATGTTTTCGGTACGTTTCGCCACTAGTACGCATAGCGATTAAATTGGAACAATTAAAATCAGCCAACTTCCAGTGGTTGAAATTAAAATTGGCCAACAATGACTGAAAGGTGTTTCAGTGGTTGACGAGCATATCATCTGCAGTCCTATAAAGTCACTCAGAGTTACCCAGTTTGGGTAATGAGCACTATAAAGTATCTTGTAATGCATTGGGATTTATCTTCATTACTATATTTTCTGCTTGAGCTATTCAAATACAATATATATTTAAGTGTTGTTTGGTGCATAATCAGTTTTACAGAATTCAGAAATACTGCTTGCTATAACCTGTATAAGGTTTTAAACTATTTTATGCTGTGTGATGAACATAGCATGGTATCACACAGTGATACCTCTTCATTAGGTATGTACATTTAACTGTCAAAGTATTTTATTCAGTCATTAAAATGATTTCCTCAATTAACTTCATGCTTAAATTTGAAACACTTTCAGGTTACAGATGGCAATCCAATACGATGTAGTTTGGTTACCAGCACAAAATTACAGTGCAAGGCCAGCGAGGAAGAGACGATGGTTGAAGAACATGATCCGACCAAAGACCGTTCAAGAGTCATTCCATTGGAGACAAGCTTGAAGTACATGAAGAGTGAAGGTATAAATATGTATTGTGTGTTATGTTTGCATCCGAGTATCTTGTGATTCATGCCTGTAAGTTCTGTTGATATTCTGGAAAAATTAAAGAAAAGGGGATGATATGGCTACATTATTTGTAAGAGAATTATGTCTGTAAAAAGATGAACAAGGAAGATTTCAATGTTCCAGCTACATGTTGCACCAGCTGATTCACTTAAAGTAGCAAAATAAAATCCAGAAGATATGTGGGAGTAATTTTTCTCAGCTACCATAGTTTTTATAGATTGAATTCACTACAAAATTAGGTGGTGTGCATCAAGTGCATAGAGATCTTTGAAAGCATAAATACAAATTATTACAGTACTGTACAGTAATCACACGCTTATACTTGGGCTGGTCGGTAGAGAGACAGCAATAATAATAGAGCAGTAACTGGAATTTTAACAAATATTTTAATTTTGGACACTCATCATCACAAAATTATTTATACCTTTCCAGTGTTCTGACATAAATTTTCATGTTACATCTTTCATTTTGGTATCAAATTGTTTGTAATTTAAAGGTGCGCATTTTAAAACTAGTCCCATAATAACAACACAATAAATAGAATTTTAACAAATATTTTAAAATTTTGACCAAAATGTATTCATAATCTTTCAAGTGTTCTAACATCAAGTTTCGTTTTACATCTTTCATTTTGGTATCAAATTGTGTGCACTCTAAAGGTGCTCATTTTGAAACTATCCCGAAGTCAATTGGATAATAAATGAATTTTATACAAATATTTTTTTATTGGACACCAGCACAGTCCGATGCTCGGACTCAAGAGGAAAAAATCGGATGCTAGGGATGTTCGAAGAGTGCTATAGTGCTTAATTAAGTTTTTGTTTAACACTCAAGTAATACAATTATTGCTTAATGACTGAAGGGATGGATGGGTGGATTGAGCCAAGATATGTTAATCTTAGCCAAAGGTTTGATGAGTACTATACGTATTGTTTACATGACATCAGTGATCTTGTTATAGCACCAGAGAAATTAAATATTCATCAACCAGTCCACTACTTCATGAGACAAGGGTGTTTATAATAGTGATAAATATCTCTAAGGCATAATAATTCACAGGTACATAAATATAAACTAACTTCACAAATAAGTTGATTCAAATTGCCAAGCAAAGAAAGTATTGAACACAAAAAGAATATATTGCACAGAAGGTTTCTCTCCATTTTTTCTTGGAGTTTACTACTCTACCTACATCTGTGTTGACTCACCTGTATTGCCGTCTTCAATTCTTTAAAACTTTTCTATCTTCTTGGAAAGATGCTTTGGTACAGCCATCTGTTTTAAGAAATATGTTTCACGGTGGAATACTGGGAGCCAGATTGGCTGAGCTATAATTGCCTATAAATAAGCAACCTAAACAATACATAATACAGTACATACAGTATAGTGAGAAACAATCATATACTGTAATGTATAATATTACTACAAATGCATGTTTTCAAAATCTTTAATGGTGCTGTAATATTCTAAACTGATTACACACAGAAATCACAATAGCGTGATGCATCAAATGAACAAATCCACAAGGGCCGTGATGAGGGTTCGAACCTACGTCCGAGAGGATCCTAGACTCTGCCTTAATCGACTGAGCTACAGCATGGTTAAAAAAATTGCAACCGGGAAATCATCCTGACCTACCACGGATCCTGCAGTCTCTCTGAGACACAAACCAGGGTTTTACACAATTCCTCCATGCACCCAAGCTCTGTCAATAGGCTCTCCTACCTCTTCGCCCCCACTTCATTACACACAGAAATCACAATACCGTGATGCATCAAATGAACAAATCCACAAGGGCCTTGGCAAGGATTCGAACCTATGTTCGAGAGGATCCCAGACACTGCCTTAATCGACTGAGCTACGACATGGTTAAAAGAATTGCAACTGGGAAATCATCCTTACCTACCATGGATCCTGCAGTCTCTCCAATTCTTTTAACCATGTCGTAGCTCAGTCGATTAAGGCAGCGTCTGGGATCCTCTCAGATGAAGGTTCGAACCCTCGTCACTGCCCTTGTGGATTTGCTCATTGTAAACTGATGTACAGTATTATATTTAGAAGAAAATATGTAAAATTGCAGTTATTTTATATACAATCCAAAAATGACTCCAAGACTTTCATATTTAATGGGTCATATAACCAGTATGAGCTGCAGATGAGCTATACTCCTACTTTTCCATCATTCACACATGTTCAAGTTCAAGTAAGTTTATTGAGAAAATGAAGTACATCTCAAAAGGATAGAGTAGCTTAGGCTATTTCATAATATAGTGATAATTTAATGTATGACCATTTAAATTATATATTTCATATATAGTTCTGGTTAGGCCCCATTTAGATTATGCAGTTCAGTTTTGGTCGCTGTACTATAAAATGGATATAAATTCACTTGAACGTGTCCAGCGCAGGATGACAAAGTTAATCCCCTAAATTAGAAACCTGTCATATGCAGAAAGATTAACAAAGCTTAAATTGCATTCACTGGAAAGGCGAAGAGTTAGAGTTGACATGATAGAGGTTTACAAGTGGTTGAATGGACATAACAAAGGAGATATTAATATGGTATTAAAAGTATCAACACAAGACAGAACACAGACCAATGGATATAAATTGGATAAGTTTAGATTTCGGAAAGAGCTGGGTAAATACTGGTTTGGTAACAGGGTTGCTGATTTGTGGAACCAGTTGCCACGTGGTGTGGTGGAGGTGGGGTCCCCTTGATTGTTTCAAGCGTGGGTTGAACATGTATATAAGTGGGATTGAGTGGTTATAAATATGTTTACGGGCTCACTATAGCCCGTGCTACATGGACACTTTGTTCTGAGTAGCTAAATCTAAAACAACAACAAGGTTATAAATAGGAGCTGCCTCGTATGGGCCAATAGGCCTTTTGCAGTTACCTTTGTTCTTATGTTCTTATTTCTACCCTCTATATAAGGTCCCTCAAGGGGGCTCACAAACCCATACAGTACACAATTATTAATTATATTCTATATTTCACATTCCAGTGGTAATCACATGGCATACTGTGAGATCTCTTATTGATTATGCTGTCCCCGTCATGTATTGTGTTGATAAAGGCAGACTAAATAAGTTGGAGAAGATTCAACATGAAGCCATGAGAATAATACCAAGATTATTATCATAACCCAAGAAATGCTATTACTGAGATAATGATGATATGATTAAACTTAGAGTATTGGGGATAGAATTTCAGAGATAAATGAAGCTTTGGCGATTAGAGTAATGAGAGGTGGGGGAGCTAATGAATTAATCCTCTCACTTCAAAAGGTGGGACGAAATGAATAATGCATGTGAAAGCATAATAAGATCCTTATGTTCTAATGTTACAGAGCATGATTAACAATTAACACCAAAATGGGAGGAATACAAAATAGATGCAGTAATTTTTCCCTCTATGTTCCAACACTGAACTTTGCTGTGGTTTGCCAATTCACTGATAATCGACATCATCACCTTGTCCACACCCTCCACACACATTTTAAGTCACTGAGAAGCAATATCCACTTAGTCAGAGACTCCCAACATTTTGAAATTTCTTCTTGCTCAGCACTTGTACATCCCCTTCTACCATAAAAGGTAACTCTATTCTTAACAATGTCTTCCAATTCTATTTTTGTAAACCATTTTTCTTGAGTTTCTCCATCAACATTTTCCACCACACAGGGTTGAACACTGCCGTCATTAGTGGATAGTTCATTTTCCTGAAACTCTTCCATCTGTGATACACCATCCTCTTCCTTACTTTCTTTTCCCTCCGTTTCATTCCCCACTTCACTCCCTACTACACTCCCCACTTCACTCCCTACTACACTCCCCACTTCACTCCCCACTTCCCCACTACACACCCTACATCACTCCCCACTTCACTCCCCACTACACACCCTACATCACTCCCCACTACACACCATCTGTTTACCATAGCTAATTTTTCAAGAGCTTCAATCCTCTTGTCCAACTTTTTTTTAGGTATTCCAAGATCTATGTACCGACCGCAAAATCCATGACGTTGCCCTGCACCTCATCACCATGAGGGTACACTTTTTTGACTTCGTTTCTTACTGCCACTAGGCTATCTTTAATCGTTGCCGTGCCTTTCTCCCAAAAGTTGGTCACAGAGGCAAACGTTGTCTTTCCACTGTTTCTTCCTTGTTCCTGTTGTACGATCTTGCCTTCCTTCGGAGCCTCATTTACCCTGCTTATAGTTACCGGCTTGGAATCGCACAAATTTGTAGGACATAGGACAGAGAGGAACCAGCATTGTGGATGCCTCAACAATTGTAGCAAGATGACAAAATTGTTTTGTCTATGTCAATCCTGACAGTCACTGTCGTGAGTCACGCTTATTTCCACAATAATGACATCTGGGGTCAAATTGACATTTCCAAGCCGTATATCCCCAGCGAGAACACTTCATGCATAATGTAGGCTCCTCGATATATTTTGCCACTTTCCTGTATCCAAGTTCTTGCACAAAAAATTCTTTCTGGATTACTTTCTCGTGTAATTAATCTCATTTGAAATTCCTCCATTAGATTTAACCACACATAGAGATTTATTCTTGTTCTCTGTCCTTGCACAACTCCATAGCAGGAGGACATTATGGATGCACTAAGAGATGATCCGCTACCTCCAGAGACAATTAGAGTAGTTATGTATTTTATATAAATGTGTGGTATGCAGGTTCTTTTTCTGTAAAATGTAGAAATGTGGACATTTTCCCTTTTTTTCCCTTGTTACTGTATTCCAAGGAAAATAATGTACTGGATATTTCCTTCTTTCAGCTTATCAAACTACGTATGGTTCTGAGCCGGTATGGAAAAAGTATCGTCGAAACTTTAAGGGTGGCCTTCCTCCACGAAAAACCAGGAAGACATGTATAGTAAGTTATTTTTTTTATAGAGTATATCTTAGGATAGTTGCATTGATATGCTAACATAATTTGTTAATATACGATTTATCTAATTTTATAGAAGAGGTAATTGTATCACCTGCCAAAATAATTAGTTTGGCAAGGCCCTTGCCTTTCAATGAGATGGCATTTTCCTATGTCCTCTTATAAAATGTGAATTACAAATATAATTTTTTGCCAAATGGGACATTTATGGGGAGCCAGTTGGTGGCTCCCTGATGCTGTCTTGCTGAGGTGGCCTCTCACTACTGGCTCACAGCAGTTGCAGGAGTTCCATTTATCCTACTGTGGACCAGAACAAGAAACTGGCTCCCCTTCTAGAGGTTCAGAGAGCTGGGTTCAGATATGCTGTCTGATATGTAGACAAAGGCTGTTTCTTGTTTTTTTTTTGTATCTAAGTGACTGATAAATACCCCATCCCCTCCCTCCCTCTTGAATATGAAAATGAATTTCCTTTTCCAGGACGGATTTAAATGTCATCACTTTCATTTTCATATGTATAGGACAGTTTAATATTTTCATCCATGTTACAATACTTATTCTGCACATGACTGTGATACTTCTGTCTGCCTATCATTACTTTTTCTGTAATATACTTGATGAATATCTGATATTCTTAGAAGTACATTGCAAATGTTATAATTGCCAACTAAAATTGTTTTAATTTTACAGCGTGGGAAAATGATTTCTACTGGAAACCCATGTCCAATTTGTCGGGATGAATTCCTTGTCTTGGACTATCGTAATGTTAATTTGTTGAATCAGTTTATCGCAGAACACACTGGGGCAATAATTTCTTATCAGTGAGTACTGCATCATGTTTTATCAATTGTTTTTCAGTAAGGTTGTTTGCCTCTTTGGTAATTTTTTTTTTTTTACAATTAATTTTTATTTGTGGAGTTAATCTGTTAAACTAATTTTATCATTTTAATTTAAAAAATTGGGCAATTAATTTCCTAATTTCTCTTCTTGACCATTCATCTCAAAATGTTTTGTGTATGCTTAAGTTTGCATCCTGATAATCATCTATGCTTTTCAGTGTACAATAGTGTGTTGTTGATAACAATTTATAATCTCTAATATGATGGTAAAAATATATTCGGTAAATATGTATAAAAATTAAAACAGTAATTATACAGTTGCACACTGAAGTTTGAAAACTCATAAAATCCAAAATGATTTTAAGATAATGTATGGCATTATTGTGCATTTTTGTCCTCTGTAAAATCTGAAGGTGTCTGCGGGTCTTGCTGTGCACAAGTGACGTGTTATTGAGTAACCGTCTCCAGTACACTTACTACTGTAATTTTAAAATAAACTTCTTAAAGTCATATTTACTATAAGTACTTGATATAATTATGAATGGGTATTTTAGTACTTAGGAAGTGAGGGAGGGAGCATGAGTGTGGTGCGAGCTCCGTGAAGTACAGATATGTGCATTGAAGACGAGAGTGCTGCCTTGCCCAGACACCACCGGCTTCCTCTCTCACTCTGCATGCATGCATGCTTTTGGAAGTATTTTGTTGCTTTTGCTATAGATCATATTTTTCCTAATTTTCTCAAGGACTCTAGAATATCAAGACGTGTTGGCATGATCAAACTTTTACATTAGTCTGGTGATCAGTCATGTCACTCCTACACTGTTGTAAAATGTTAATATACTTAAGCTTGTGCTGGATGTCTCATGTCAGCTGAGAGCTAAAATATGCAAGATTGTAATTCGAGTACTGTGAAAAATATGGTTTGGCAACATTTGTTTGATGTTTTCCAATTCCCAGTATGGTTGTTCAGAGGTTTAGCACTGCTTCAGTTGTAAGAACCACAGATTCCTCAAGGACTGTCTGCTATAGTTGCTGGACCTCTATAATTTAATAAAACAATACTGTATTTAGTAACAATACTTAGATTATATGGCAAAGTTAGTACCTAGGAATCTGATCACAGCACAAACTGCATAAATTTGAGCACTTATTGCCTAAATTATTTAATGTCTTGGTTGTTATGGCATCACTTAGCCAGTAACTGGGTTTTTTCTTATCTAACTTAATATGAGGCTTTAATGCCTCTTCTTACTCGATCCAACCCCGAGTCATAGGCAAGTTATTATGAACTGGCAGTAATAGTCCAACAGGAATGGGGGGGGGGTAAACAACACTAAACAAGACCTTCACTATGTGTACTTCTTAACTATATACACATATGTACAGCACATGACAGCTGGTGTCACTTTCACACAGGACATTATAAAACTAATGCAATCTTCTTTCCTGGCGAGTCCACTTCTATCTTCTGTCGTACACCACTCAAGGTTCCCTCCCTGAGTGTCTTCTATGGTCCTCACGTTGGTGACTTCACCATTCTCATTAAATCATGGGTCAGTCCTCTACAGCAGCATGCTGGCAGGGGTCTCCAGCAGCATGCTGGCAGGGGTCTCCAGCAGCATGCTGGCAGGGGTCTCCAGCAGCATGCTGGCAGGGGTCTCCAGCAACACGCTGGCAGGGGTCTCTAGCAACACACTGGCAGGGGTCTCTAGCAACACACTGGCAGGCTTCCACACTGGCTTCAATTATAGCAAGCCTTAACAGACTGACATTAATTTCATCTCATAACTCAACTTGGCCATACCGGGATATGTTGGTTCAATCACTAATACTTAATTATCATAGACAAATCACAGTCTACACCGACTCCGCCACTTGTTCCCACTGAAACACGCCTTGAGCTCAGGACTGCCCTGGGTGAACTGATTCCTGTTGACCAAGGTACCACCCACATCACTTCTGATGAGTAAAAGATGAATAGTAAGAAGGAAACTACACAGGGGTCCATAAGATTACAGTCTTCAACTGGGGAACAGAAAATGGAGTCGGGTGCGCTCAACAGATGGCGTCGACATCGTCACATTGGTACTCTGGAAATAAGCACTTAACTTGAAACCTTGACTATTCACACCCTGATCTAACTAACCAAAGTAGCACAATAAACCTGACTGATGTGGGGGAAAAGAGAATTAGGTTTTTAGATAATACAAATTTATAATTTTGTTTTTTAAATGCATTGTTTATATATTACAGTATGTGTATTTTATTATTCTCGGTAATAGCAGTGATTAAAAATTAGCACAGAGTAATGATAAAATTCAAACAATTTGATTCTGTGAAAAACTTGGCATTTCATAACAGATCCATTTTCGATTAATTTAGACTTCAGAGGAGCATTTCTCAACCTTTTTACGTTTGTAGAATGCTTGGAATAATTTTCATGTCTCAAGGAACCCTTGCATAAAAACTAAATTACAGTACTGTACTGTATATTTTTATACAGTATATAATTTTTATAGATATACCACTTCATTTCTAATCTTGGCTTTATTAAATTGCATGGAGAGTGCTTTATGATTAATACTGTAGGTTATATTTTCCTAAAGGCTTACTTTTCTTGCAGGAAAACAAACCTCTGTCAAAGGCGTCACAAGGAACTGCAAGTGGCTGTAGAAAAAGCTCGTGACTATGGTCTCCTAACCTACGATGTTCCCTTACGCGAATATGATTATTCCGAGTACTACAATCCTGCTGAGCATGAAAACGTATAAACCTCTTGAAAAGTCTCCATGGATTATATAATTATTTGCTGTATAATATGTTGTAATTCTACTTTCTTGTTAGCTGCCATAGTGATTCTTGTAATATATATACACTACTGTACAGTTGAGTCTCTGTTAAACAAAACTGCTTGAAACTAATCAGAGTGCTAGTTAAGGGCTATTTTGGCATATGATTTCCTGTACCCTGAAACCAGAATCCTAGCCTAACATGACATAACTTTATCATTTGTCTTTTTATAAACCCTTTTGTATGTATATACTGTATTGTATATAAGCAATCGCTGGTGAAGTGGTTTTGGTTGTGTGTACACCAGGGGGTGGGACCTAGTTATGCAGGTTTGAACCCTGGTTGGGTCATAGAGTTCTTTTAATTGATTTATGTTTTGGGTAAAATTCAAGTTTTCACATTTGTAGGCTCAGTGCAGCCCTACCATATACTGTACCAGGATTTGACAAAAAATTGTGCCTAAATTGCACCACAAGAATTGCTGAGGACTGGTTAATCATGGGCCTTAGTTAACAAGCTCCAGGATTAACAAATCCTTGTAGGCAATAGCTGGTGAAGCAGGTATGGTATATATAAAAAGTCCACAAGCAATCCACCTTGGATGGCCCCATTGTAGATCAAGCAGGTGCAACATGTCTAGAAGCTGCAACCTACATGACACAGCTCAACTTAGAGCTTTAGCAGCTCCCTATGTAAGTTACTTCCTATTAGCAACTAGCATCTATCTCATACCGCAGGCCCTCCGAATTGCAGTGGCTCTCCGCCCTCCTTTCCTAATCCGCACTGAATATAGGTGTATTTGCAGTGAGGCAGTAGCTAACAGGCATGGCCAGCATGGCCTGCTCTGCCAAAGCACAAGGGATGGCATTTAAGACACTGATGTCAGTGACATCATTAAGAGTAGCCTTACCACAACTAGTTAGAGAGAGGAAAGAACCCAGCGGAGAGAGAGAGCCCCATTACCTAATGCCCTACAACTCTGACAAACTTATGTGGCCACCTAGATGAGATAAAAGCGAACCCCTGGAAGAACGGTAGACAGTTAGTGTATTCACCTAATTGTGCTTGCGGGGGTTGAGCTCTGGCTCTTTGGTCCTGCCTCTCAACCGTCAATCAACTGATGTACAGATTCCTAAGCCTACTGGGCTCTATCATATCTACATTTGAAACTGTGTATGGAGTCAGCCTCCACCACATCACTTCCTAGTGCATTCCATTTACTAACTACTCTGACACTGAAAACGTTCTTTATAATGTCTCTGTGGCTCATTTGGGTACTCAGCTTCCACCTGTGTCCCCTTGTGAATGTGCCACCCATGTTAAATAATCCATCCTTGTCCACCCTGTCAATTCCCCTGAGAATTTTGTATGTGGTGATCATGTCTCCCCTAGCTCTACTGTCTTTCAGCGATGTGAGGTGCAGTTCACGTAGTTGTCCTCATAACTCATGCCTCTTAGTTTTGGGACTAGCCTAGTGGCATGCCTCTGAACTTTTTCCAGCTTCGTCTTGTGCTTGACTAGATACGGGCTCTAGTATGCCCCAGCATACTCCAATCCTGGAGTATGCTGGGGTTGCACACTCCAGGATTGGTCTGATTCCATACTCCAGTGTAATTACTTAAGTGTAATTACCTAAGTGTAGTTACAGGATGAGAGCTACGCTCGTGGTGTCCCGTCTTCCCAGCACTCTTTGTCATATAACATATATGTATGTCATATAACATGTCATATATGTGTGGAACTACATGTGTGTTTCGACCTTGGCTAATACCTTCGTTGACTTCAGTATTGCATATCTGGGTGGTGCTGCCATCCACAGGGAAGCAGCAAGGTCTCATAAATACAGATGAGGCCTGACGGCTGAGTGGACAGCACTCGGAATTCGTAGTCCTAAGGGTCCGGGTTCGATCCCCAGCAGAGGGAATAACAAATGTGCAGAGTTTCTTTCACCCTGATACCTCTGTTCATCTAACAGTAAAGAGGTACCTGGGAGTTAGACACCTACTATGGGCTGCTTCCTGAGTGTGTGTGTGTGTGGGGGGGGGGATCAGCTGATTGATTGACAGTTGAGAGGCAGGCCCAAAGAGCCAGAGCTCAACCCTCGCAAGCACAACTATTGAGTACAGAGCTCTGGATCACCACTACAATTTTGTCCCTATTGCCTTGGAGACTCTTGGTACCTGGGGTAAAAGTGCCACCAGGTTTTTGAAGGATCTGGTCTCTAAGTTAATTGAAACAACAAAAAAACCTAGAGCTGCCAGCTTCCTTTTTCAGCTCTGCAGCATAGAGATAGAGAGAGGAAAACACTACATCCATGGTTCCTGCCTGCCATCTGAGGAGCTGGAGGAACTTGATAATCTGTTACAACTAACCTTGTATCTTGCATATAACCAATGTTGTAATCCATTTTGTCTAATAAAGTTTTAAATAAAATAAAATCACAAATTACAAATATATAAGAAGGTGGTAGGGAAAGTAGTAGTAACATCTAGAAGTGATGACACTTATATTCCTGTTTTAAACTCCCACAAGTTGTTATACAATACAATATTAGCCAGAGTAATACTGTAATTCTATAAATAAGTACAGTACCATAAGTGAATATGGTTTTCACTTCCAAGTAAATGCAGTTACATTGATGAGAGCACAAATGTATCACAGAGTGTAGAGTGTGAAGAGTAACACTAAGGTCTAATTCAGATACCTATACCTTCAGATTATATCTATACCTTCAGATCCCTATACTGTACAGTATTTTCTTGCAATTGCCATGGTATTTGGGTTTAGTGTATAAAGTGCCCATCCTGCTTTCCAACGAGCTTGGGACTGAATGCAGGCATAAATGTTGATTTTATACGTATATTTTTTATCTTTTTGTCATCCTTTTGCCATCATAAAATATTAATTTATTTCCAATAATACGTCACAATGGAGATGCCCTAAATTCTCTAAATTGTAAGCACGACATTTGGTACAATTACATATTACACATTGAGGGAATATTTACAGTACATGAAATAATATTGTACATACAGGCATATATGATAATGGGGTATGTCACTACATGAATGCAGGTTCAATGGGGTTGCGGGATAATTTTATACAGGATAATTTAGCAGCATAATGTTAAAATCTTCAGGCCAAAACCCACAAAAAAACTTGAAAACAGCAAAAATGGAATGTTCTCAACAAATTAACTTCATGCTCACTTTTGCTAGCTAGAAATAAAAGCAACTGACATATTAGAACCTAATCAAAAGCTAGATAAAGCCCAGTATCTGCACATATTCAGCTTGGTATCTATTGAAGGGTTAAAATCCCTTTCTAATGTGCCAGAGTGAAATATTGAGCAGATCCTGATTAGAGTGATGACCACTACTAGCCAACATGGGGATAGGAAGTCCATAGTTTGAGAGTAGGTCTTCCATTCTTTATAACTTGAGCTGACCCATATTATATATGCTCTACATTCAAGCTAGATAAATGTGAAACAATTACCTCTTGTGTAAGTTGCATTAAACACTTTAAAGTTTAAGTCCTGTAGCTTGAATTGAGATCTTAAAACTTGTTCATGATTTGTCACAATAAGATTAACCTTTATGTGTCTTGTTTGTAGAATTTTTAGTTCTATGACCTGCAGCCTTAACTAGTATGGGAGATGATTATGATCCTCTCAGGTCCTCATCCTCTGGGATGATCATCATCATTTCTGGGATGATTTTTCGTCACTGATAGTGAAAGAACAACTAAACTTAGAAGAATTAATATTCGACTAATTTGACTAAACTAATATTGGGAGTTTGCAACATCTGCTGATGTAGATTTGACTATTTAAACTCGGCAGAACTATTCGCATACTTTGCGTCATTAAATAATGGCATGTGAAAAAATTGCAGAATTCAGAATAACACGAGCAATGGAGTCCAAGAAATGTGTAAGTATATTCATAAGTATATTCATTTACTCATAAGGATAAACACCAATCTCAGGTAGTGTTAGTTAATTCATTATGCTCGCATAATATCATTCCTGTGGGTGGTAGTGGAAAGGGTTACAGAGGCACATAATGGGCTCAGGTACTGAACCCCACAATTCATTTAGCTAAGCAAGTTACAAAATTCAGTATAAGTAGTCACATCATAAATGGGTTCGAGATCGACCACAAGTACAGTTTCTAAATTAAGCAACTGACATATGTGGAGAGCTAGTGTCACAATTTATATGTTTGTCCTGCACACCGCCCCACATTCAGTGGGCAGTGGTGGATATGTTACAATAGGCAGTTATGGGATAGCTTGCCCGAAACGCTATGCGTGCTAGTGGCTATACAAGAATGTTAATTCAACTTATTTTTTATATTCTCTGTTAACCCCAATGTAACTTCTTGTGTATAAATAAATAAAATAATAACAATCACTTAGTTACTACCTACAGTTTGCAAACTGCGGATATTTGGCTAAAATTTCTGGTAGCAGATAATTTTGGATGAAATATTTACACATCGTTGGAACATTGGTTATCTTCTTGAGGTTATCTTGAGGTGATTTCGGGGCTTTAGTGTCCCCGCGGCCCGGTCCTCGACCAGGCCTCCACCCCTAGGAAGCAGCCCGTGACAGCTGACTAACACCCAGGTACCTATTTACTGCTAGGTAACAGGGGGATAGGTTGAAAGAAACTCTGCCCATTGTTTCTCACCGGCGCCCGGGATCGAACCCGGGACCACAGGATCACAAGTCCAGTGTGCTGTCCGCTCGGCCGACCGGCTTGGTTATAGAAGTGTCTCTAAATTCACGTATCTTTTCGCACTCCATCTACCCTAAACACATCTCACGGTCATCCCGGGAGCTCAGTGTACCAGGCGTGTGGCAGGGTGAAGGACCCTGGCTGGCTGCCGCCCCTACAACACTTCCTTCTTGCTATAGTCCCAAAAATATAGAGCAGCGCTGTGAATGAAAGAAGCTTTTTTACAGTTTCAAAGTGTTTAAGAATCAACATGAAGGTAAATTCAGAATTCATCGTATATAACAGGCTCCTGTGCTAAAGCTAATTATATAAGTATTCATCCAAAATAAGTGCCAGTTCATACATTATAAATTGTAATCATGAAAGTACTACACAGTTTTGAAAATTACCAGACATATCCCAGAAGTCCCCAAACTGCGCTACAGTTCCAACTATAATAGTGTGTTTAGGGTAGAGGGGACGAGGATAGGAGAGA